AAACAGAGGGTAGTGTGAAAAGGTTCTTATTGTGCCTTACCGGAAAGGTCACAAACCTTTGAAAAGTCACAATCTTTCGGAAAGGTCACCACCTTTCATAAAAGTCACAACTTTTCATAAAAGTCGCAACTTTTGATAAAAGTCACAACTCTTCATAATAGTCGCAACTTTTCATCAAAGTCACAACTCTTCATTTTCCATTCACACCTTTTAAAACCCAACACGATGTACCCCCAGGGCCACCACCACCATCACCATTACCACCTCCAACAACACTAGTGCTACTATCACCACTTCCACTATCATCATCATCATCTTCACCACTACCACCAACTCCGTGACTACCATCACCACCACCCGCACCTCCATCAGTACCAATAAGTTGAACATGAGTTGACAGGGACAGAGCTAGAATTTTAAGTTTATAGATTTTCAATTCTGAAAAGGATAGATTATTTTGTTCTAGTTTATTTTTAAAAAAATACAAATATAAGGGCTAAGAATTAGTGATTTTGTAAGTAGATATATAGCTTCATTCGCATGAGCACCACGCTTGCCATAACTATAAGTAAGATTGAGTCCCCCTTTATATGTTCTTTTTGTTGCGAGTCTTAGATTTGGTTGTGGTTGGATGGATTCAGGATTATTATGAGTGAATTTATTATGTATTACGATTCATGTTTTTTTTTGTTTCTAAAAATAACTTTTGAACAAGAATTTAAAAAAATGTACCAACATTGTTATTATCACCAAAGTCTAATTTTAGGATTCCTTGGAAGCATGTTCTCCAACAAATTAGTCTGAAAAATCATAGCTCGATCCTACGTAATTAACATGTTAGATAGGTTGATTTCGCGAGTCAAGTTCATTTTAACAGTTTTATTTCTTCAATTAAGCAATACAGTTGCAATAGAGATAGCATAACCAAAATGTTAATTGAAAACAATATATATGTTGTATGGAATATACTGTTTTTGGAGGATTCAATACACATTCGATAATATTTCTAAAATGATCTGAACAATATAGATCAAAATACACTAGAGATGCCAATTGGGGTCCTTTTGGAAATTTTGGAGGTACCAATTTTTGTAAGTGTTGAATTTGGATTTGGATGAATCAATTGTTGATTATATATACGCGCCATTTAAGTTTACATTAATAGACTAACTCCTTTAAATACAAAAATAATTTAACTTATTTATTTCATTTTTTTTTAATCTTAAATAACAATTTTATATAACTACATAAATATTGTAACATAAACTTATTATGCTTTGACCTTTAGGACTCAGAGTCAAAGAGTCGATTTTTCAAAAACGATAGAGTGAATCTGTCAATCCAATTTATGGTAGAAGTAGTTGGCAATTGAATCCGATTTAACCATCACTTTCATATCAATAAACCAAAAACAAGAAAACTTCAAGTTGTTCAAATAGTAACGTTGATTTTTTCAATCCTTTGACTTAGGATTATGATATTGATATAAATAGGGATGATGTGATGACTTAATTTTGAAGAAACTTCATTACTACTTGAAAATTTGAAAGAATGAAGCTAGCATACATAATTTCATTTCTTCTAATAATATCCTTGAATATATATGAAGCAAAAGCAAGGTCCATTCAACAATATAATTATTCCTACAAGAAATTGTTTTCTCAATTTAAAGTTGCTAGAGAGCTAAGAGGTGTAAAAGGCCAAAAAATAACAATGACACCACCAGAGGCTAATAAGGGATCTGGTATGCATCTCCCTCCTACGGCGCCGCTTCCACGACAACCACCTCCTCCTCCATTAGCACCAACAAGCTAATAACAAGACGTGGTTAAAATTTTAAGTTTATAGGTTCTGAATTTAAAAAATATATTATACTGAGTTTGAGACATCATGTCGCTTCCCACATATTTTTTTGGTGAGTGCTTAGATTTGGATTTGGAATAAAAGATTTAGGATTTTTGTGAGATAATTTATTAGTATGTATTTTGATTCATGTTTGTCTTTTACTTTTAAAAAGAAGTTCTTTGATAAAATATATATTTTGAGTACTCACTTCATTTAAGTTTATGTTATACTATTTTTTCCAATACGTTTCAGAAAGATCGACTCCTTTTAAATAGGGGTGTATAAAATTGAATCGAAAATTGAACTAAACCGTAAATCGAGTCAAATCGAAAAGAAACTCGACTAGTGGTTTGATTTGACTTAGTTTGGTATTGGAAAAAAAACCCGACTATATTTGGGTTGGTTTGGTTTTAACTAAAAAACCCAACCCGAGACCAAATCAACCCGACATTATATATGTAATTTTTAAAAATTTTATTTTTATACATAAAAAATATTTACTTTGATATAATTTTAAATATTTCTTATACTATTTCATAGTTTTTATCTTTTAATGTATTATTTCAAGTTTAAAACTTAGAATTCGGAATGGTCTAATAACGATTATAGTTCATAGATGTTGATAATACAATAAAACTTAAATCAAAATCAAATTAATACTAATGCAAAAAGAAAATCAATTCAACACTAAAAATGACAACAATATTGAATATTTGTTCTTTAGTTTTACATTGATTTAGATAATTAAAATACATAATCTAATTTTAATTTTCCTTAAATATTTAGTAATGTAACTAATACTTATTAAACTTATTTTAGCATTATTTAGTACATTTAAATTATGATCATTTTCATTATTGTCACACCCCTATTTTTCCCCAAACGAAAATGTTTGAAAAATAGAGTTTCTCCAATTAAAGTGACATTTTGAAAAGGGATTATTTTATTTCAGAGTCGCCACTTGGAATTGAGTTTCGGTGTTCCAAGTCACCTAATTTTTACCCCTAATCAAAAGAAAGTTGACTCTAATTTTTAATGGTCTGCGAACTAGAAATCTGGATAAGAAATTCTATTGACCAAGGGGAAGGTGTAAGGCACCCCTCGAGTCCCGTGTTTCTAGCACAGTTGCTTCATTGACTTATATCTTAGCTTGACTTAGTTTTTGGATATAGTATACTTATTAGCTATACATTTACTTATATCCACCTTCTTTGATTTATTATAACTGTCTTGTTTAGATTTTTTAGAGTTCGGGGAATTTTAGTATTGTCGTTTTAGTGGGAGTAGATAGTTGAATTATAATAGGAGGTAAAATTCTAGGGGGTTTAGGATTAGGTTTAGAAAAGAAAATGGTAAAGAGGTTAAGACCAAAAAAAAAAATTGCACGTTTTTTTTTAAAAAAAATAATAAAATTCAACATTCTGTTCCTTCTTCTTTTTACCTTTCGATTTTGATTTGATTTTTTTTTTTTTGTTTAACATAATGTTTCTCTTCTTATTTCATTTAAATAATTTTTGGTTAAATTTTTTTTTTCTTTTTTTTTACCTTTACTTTATTTTTTATTATTATTACTTTTTATCACTTTTCATAAAATTGCACGTTATTTTTTTTAAAAATAAAATAAAATTCAACATTCTGTTCCTTCTTCTTTTTACCTTTCAATTTTGATTTTTTTGTTTTTGTTTAACATAATGTTTCTCTTCTT